CTTTGAGCAAATAAATATCAGTCTGCAAGTCAGCGCCAACTTGCAGATGTCTAGGTTTAAGATCATGGATGGAAAGGGGTTTGTTTTAAACTACTGGCTCTTACTATAGAGCATTGGACATAAAGTGCTCCTGAAAGTCCTAATGTACAGTTAGCATAGTGAAATAAACATCAACAGTCCATAGTCCCAGGAATCTCTCATACACGCACAGAGCTCTGCTTTGCTTTTTAAAGATTATTTTATGCCTGCTTTTAGGCAGTGAGCATATCTAATACTCCTTTCTCTTCCTAGTTTTTCCACAACCACAACACTGTGAGGTGGGTGGGCTGAGAGAATGAATGACTGACCCAAAGGCACCCAGCTGGCTTTCATGCCCAAGGTGGAACTAGAATTCAATGTCTCCTGTTGATTGACCCAAAGTCACGCAGCCAGTTTTCATGCCTAAGAAGGAACTAGAACTCACCATCTCCTGGTTTCTACCCTGGTGCCCTCTGCATGAAAACAAATGCTCAGTCCCACATGCTGGGGTTACTGCCTTGCTTGTTCTCACCCCTGCGCTAGGCCACAGTTTGGGGTTTGATTTGTTTGGTTTGCGGGGGGGAAAAGCAGAACCTGGTTGGAAAAGGGGACCAAGCTGGCCGGGAAGCCCTTAGAAACGCTTCCAACTGGCTCCCTCCTCTCGATATTCCAGCGATACCAGAGAAAGACGACTCATGTGATGCGCAGAGCGCAGGGAAGCAAGCCAGCACACTCTCTTTAGAAGGGCTGCAACAGCTGCCTTGTTGGCTCCTGAGCACCAGCCAAGAATGCTCCTGAGAATACACGCAAATCCTAGGAAGGCATTTATCGCGACTGCTAGTTACAGTTAGCAGAGGTCCTTGTGGGGGAGGAAACCCAGCCTCTTGAACTCAGGACTCTCCTAGGGGGAAGATGACCTGCTGCTTTCAATCTCCCTGAACCAATTGTTGGAATAGTTTTAGCACCCCGTTTCCCTGGCAGCAACCCATTGTGTTAGTCCCAGAGTTATAAATACCTTCGTGGTCTATTGGTGCTATTAGCAATGTGCCCCCACCCCCCAAAAAAGACACATGGGGGAAACAAAGAAGGGAATGTGGCATTGCTGGACATAAGGGTGGGAACAACCAGACTGAGTGTTCCTCCTTCCATTTGGTGGCCTGCTGAGACATGCCGTGGTATTTGACAAGATGGTGACCTTACTTATAGTACTCACTTGTAGTAAATGAAGTTTTCACCCCTACACAAAATCTGGCTGAAATCTGAAGACATCCAGCTCCTGACAAGTGATGGGGGCTAAATCCCAACTTGGAGCTGTCACGTTTATCAGTGGATCTTTTTGAAAGGCTGGTTATGGTTCCTTTTTGAAACCATAACAAGCCGCAACATCTGAGCATCTATTCAAGTCCGTTGCAATCAAAACAAAATTGTGAGTTTGTGCGGCGCATCGTCTGATTAGAATATATGTATTATACATAAAACAAATATTGATTCTTTAATTTCCAGCACCAGGTTTGGGAAATAGTTTTTTTAAAAAACAACCTCCATAGCACTAAAACACTTCAGGGTAGAACAAAACCATTTCATTGCATCATGAAAAAACAAAATATGAACATCAAAGTTGTTTTTAAGAGTCCTAGATACAGCTCAGATTTGTTCCACTAACCAAAAGGAAACAGATTCTTCAAACAAAGTCATGCTATGCAATCACAGTCTTTCTCCCTGGGATTTACTCTCCACGAAACCCACTTAACTTTGCAGCCTCCGTTTATCATTGGGAATTGTGCTCGGTTATTTTCAGAAGGCAATGACTGAATTGTCTCACCAGGATTTTATAACTGAAATGTTCAGATACTTAATTCATACCTAAGTAATCAGCAATGTCTCATTATTTTTACCCAGTAATCACAGGTTGCCAACCTGAAATAGTAGAGTTTTAAATGAAGATTTGTACAACCAAGTCAGAAAACCGTTTGCAGATGTATGACGGTTTCATTCATCGTATTTTTTTAAGGCTGCATCTCAATCTCTGCCACATTCATGCATATTAATGGATATTAGGTATTTTGCTGTATCTGACAACGTTATTATTGTTTGTTTAAGCCTCATTTGCTTCTCTAGATTTTTCTTCCAAGCATGTAAATATATATTTTTCCTATCACCCTATTCATGGACAAGGAAAGGAAGATTTGTACTGTAACATAATGTTATCACCGAAATAGCCACTAGAGGACACTCACCATATGTCTATATAGATTTAGATAGCGCCACAACCTTGTTTATTATATTAATGGCATCTCAAATAATAAAATACAAGTGTCTGGCCAAGACTAAACTAAGCCTCTCTCATTCTTATTATCCTGTTTTCCACAGTACTCAGAGGAAGATGGCCAGCAGACATCCCCAGCCAACATCTGATCTGGAATTGCAACTCGCAGATTACCAATCAGCTCTAATCAATTTTTATTACTGTTTTTCCTATAAAAGCCCCAAAATGCAAAGCACATGGAAGCAATAGCATTCTTTGTTTTAATCCACCTACTGAATCGACTTTGGTTCTTTTTAAAGGCCGTTTGTGGAACAAAACCTCAATAGCAGTTTATTCACCACATGGAGATTTAGTGGACAGTGTGAATTTGGTACCTATCTGTGTTAAAGGATTTAAAGCCTATTTGCCCCTATGCAGTCACCAGGCTGATGGGATTATCTGAAAAGACAAGCGTTCCTGAGAATGGGAGATTCCACGTTACTGTTTAAAAGAAACGGCCCGTCCTCTTGGTTTATAGAAGAAAAAAAACAGTTACAAAATGTAGCAGGATCAAGCCACATGCCTAAACACGGAAAAATATTCAGCTAAAATAAAGGTTAGATCTCAATTCTTAATCCGTGTTTCTCAACCTTGGCAAATTTAAGATATGTGGATTTCACCTCCCAGTCAAACTGGCTAGGGAATTCTGGGAGTTGAAGTCCCCATATCTTAAATTTGCCAAGGTTGGGAAACCCTGCTCTCTCCTAATTGGGTAATTATGGAGAAAAGGAAAGTATTATTTGAAAAGGAAAGCAAGGAATCAAAAACGGGTGAATACCTTGAATATGAAGTCTCGGTTCGCACAGGATAGCTGAATCCTCCATTTAGGTTAAGATTGCCGCTCAGTCCGGATGTTGGTTTTTGCACAAACCACTGGATCGTAGCAGGCCTTCCAGATGTCGGTGGCCAGGTGGATTTCTCCAGGGAAAAAATGCAGAATGCTCCAATTCGGAGCAGCCCCTCCTCAAAAGAAATGGAGGGGGGGGCTTCAGGGCTTGGTGGCTGCCCCCACCCCACAACTGCCTCTTCTTTGCAGGATGCCAAATTCAAAAAAACATTGGGGACTTTCTCCTTGGTGGTCGGCACTCGGCTGTCTCGGTCACTGTGGTACCCTTTGGCTTTCTTGGAGGCCTGGGAAGCATTTGTGGCTTCCATTGATTTGTATTTATAGATTGCTTCCACCCTTCATCCTTCATATGGTCAAATATTAAGTGTTGTACCTTATGATTCTTGACTCTTGACCAATGTATCTTTTCTTTTTAATGTATATTGAGAGTATTTGTACCAAGACAAATTCCTTGTTGTGTCCAACCACACTTGGCCAATAAAAAATTCTGTTCTATAAAATAAATTTCCTGGGATAGATGTAACCCTTTTTTTTCTAGCGTCACAACAGCCCTGCCAGGTAGGCCCATCTGGATTGCTGGCTGAAGGAGAGGAGGGGTCTTCAAGGCGATGAAGGCCCTTCCACCCTCGGGCTGTTTACGGGTTTATTTATTTTTATTGGCAGATTAATTTCTATTATTCCTCCCGTCTTCTCTCCACATGGTTGACACGCTGTAACTATCCTGGATACAATGTAACATTTTGTTTATGGCTTCACAACGACCCTGCGAGGTAGGCCTGTCTGGACCCAGAGGGTCGCTGGGTGATGAAGGGGGGTCTTCTCCCGCCCTCAGGCCGCTTCACAGGTCCCTCCATGCTGATGACCCGGTTGCTAGGCAACCCCAGCTTTTATCTCCCCCCCCCTTCCCATCCCTCTTCACTCTCCGGAGCCGTTCCTCTCCCCGTTGCTAGGTTACCCAAGCCCCGCCCCACCCGTCGGCGATTGACCGGTGAGCTCCCGCTCCCCCTCCCCTGCTGTCAGACAGCGCAAGTCAGCACGCGCCCGAAACACGCGCAGGAGCAGCCCTCTCCCGGACACACCTCTTTGGCCTCGCCGGAGCCAATCGCGTGAGGAGAGCAGGGGGAGGGGTTAAGAGCCGTGAATGACAGCGGCGGCCGTTCCGGCAGAGTCCCGTTAGGTGGGTGGTGAGAGGGAGGCGAGCATGAAGGGGCGGGACTCGAAGGAGAAGGCTGCCCAATCGTGACGCGCCCGAGAGGGAGGGGGGGGCGTGGGCGAGGCGAACAAGATCCGGCCTCCCGCTCCTCTCTCTGGCCGGCCGGGCCTCTTCACCTTCTCCGCCGGATCGGGATCCCTCCGCCCGCGGAATCCCTCCCACGTATAACGGCGGCGGGGGGAAAGCACCGCCCGGCAGCGTCGCCTCCTGTCGCGGGATTATTTGTCGCGCGCCGGGCGGGCGGGCAGGCGGCGGCGGCGGAGAGCGGGGCGTGAGGGTGGGCGCTGCGAGGGCGAGCTGCTGCTGCTTCTTCGGCCGCCTCCTCGCCTTCTTCCCCCTCGGCGGGCAAGGGATGGAGGGAGCCGGGCCGAGGCGGCGGCGGCGGCAAGGAGGAGCCGCCCCCTGAGGAGAGCCGCGAAGCGCGCCAGGGAGGCCCGAGAAGGCTTCGGCCCAGCCGCCCCCCCCCCGCTCCCCGCCTCCCTGAGGGGGCTGCGAGGCCCCGCCCGCCGGGCCCTCCCGGGCAACCCCGTGGCGCTGCCCCCCCCTCCTCCTCCTCCTCCTCCCCCCGCGCCCCGGCCGGCCGGGCTCCCCCGCTCGGTGAGGGCCGCGGCGGCGTCGGGCCAGCATGGTGGAGAAGCGCTGCCCGCGGCTGCAACGCGAGAGCGTCTACCGCTGGTTCTCGGAGCTGCCTTCCCCGCAGCGGGTGGAGTTCCTGTGCGGCCTGCTGGACCTCTGCATCCCGCTGGAGCTGCGCTTCCTGGGCGCCTGCCTGGAGGACCTGGCCCGCAAGGACTACCACTCGCTGCGCGACTCCGAGATCAAGGCCAACAACGCGGCCGACCTGGGCGGCCTGACCAACCTGACGGACGAGGTGGTGCGCAGCAAGCTGCTGGTCTCGCTGGCGCTGCTGGGCTCGTCGCACCGCGAGGCGGCCGGCGTGCTCTTCCGCACCCTCACGCACCTCGACTCGGTCATCCACAACTACGGGCTGCAGCTCAACGAGGGCCGCACCGGCGATGAGTTCCTGCTGCTCTTCACCATGGCCTCCAACCACCCGGCCTTCAGCTTCCACCAGAAGCAGGTGCTGCGGCAGGAGCTGACCAAGATCCAGAGCCTCCTGGCCTGCACCGCCAAGGGACCCCCCGCCGCCAACGCCGCCCCCGGCACGGCCGCAGCGGCCGCCACCTGCCCTGGGTGCCACAAGGTGGGTCCCGGGCTCGGGAGGCGCAGTTGGGGGATTAGGCCGCGGTTCAGGGGGGTGGAGAGGAGGAGGAGAACCACGGGTTCCAGTGCCTGGAGGGGATGGAAGGGGGGCAGACTGGTTTATGGAAGCTGGAGGCGAGGGAGAGGAAGCAGACTATGCTTTGCTATGGCTGGTGGAGATGGAGAGGAGATGAACCATGGTTTGCAGTAGCTGGAGAGGATGGAGAGAAGATGGTTTGTGGTGGCTGGAGGGGATGGAAAGAAGGCAAACCATGGTCTGGTGGGGACGGAAAGGAAAGATCGCCAGTGTATTCCTGGGTTCCACACTGTGCCCTCTTTTGTGTCTACAATTGTCTCTTTGCCACCACTGGGCCTCTTCCCACATCCCTTTAGAAAGGGGCACCTTTCGGCCAAGAGTTGCAGCTCCAATCTTTGGGATACAGGTGTCACTAAGCTGTGTATCTTTCCAGCCTGTCGGGCCAGGGATTCTAATGTAAATGTTGGCCCCAGGAGCTGATTTAGGACTCCTCCTCCCTCCCCCCCCCCAAGAAAGATGGGGGAGGGGCTTTTGCTTATTTTATAAAAAGCAGCCTGGCCTTGTGAAACATAGTTAGTAACCAGGAATTGAGACTGGGCAGATGTTTTGGCCATCATCAGTGAGAATAGTTTAAAACTATTTCACAACTTGTCATTCGTTGCAACGTGGACCTGCTAAAGTTAATTTCCTTAGTTATCCTTCAGTAGTGTGTGTGTGTATTAAATGTTGTCCTTAATGTAAAACTTTCAATACTTTTTTTAAAATTTTATATGTTTTTGGCTCTCACATATTAGCATTTGGTGTTTCAAAATAATTGGGCTCAGTAAGCAGAGATGAATGCCTTTACATTTGCTGATGCAGAGATGTAATTCAAGAAGGAAGGAACCTATACAGTTGTTTAATTCCTCAGAAGTAGCTTGAGGCAAGCGTTGCTCTTGTTGTGGTCTGAGCGAGTTGGAACAGACCTTGGAGTCATCTAGTCCAAGAGTCTCCAACCTTGGCTACTTTAAACCTGGAGGCTTTGCTGGCTGGGGAATTCTGGGATTTGAAGTCCTCCAGGTTTAAAGTAACCAAGGTTGGAGACCCCTGATCTAGTCCACCCCCCTGCTTAGGTAGGAAACCCTACACCATTTCAGACAAATGAATGTCCAATCTCTTCTTAAAAACCTCCAGTGTTGGAATAAAGAACACTGCGACTAGATCGTGATTAAATTGGGGAACACTGATCTAGTATGATCTGTGGTATTGTTAATACATTCTATGTCACGTATTTCATCAAACTGAACCCAGTGTGAGGACATTTTTGTTACCATTTTGTGTTCTAAAGAATAAACTCCAGTGCTTAAACTGTCAAAACTTAATACCCTAGGCATTTTTCATTTCTCAAACAAAAACACAGAATTAAGTATCAATTTACATAAGCAACTGAATCATCCAGCAACGCCTCAAATGCTGTTAGATATGACTTGATTGAATACTTGTTTAATGCTGTTATTTGTAAGCATCTGCATTTAGCTTCATGTGTTTCTATAACAATCTTATATATGGGGATTTAAAAAGTAAGTCTAATTTATACCTCATGCTTTGCCAAATTCAAGCATTTTGAATAAGAGCTGGGGCTTGCATCGGTAGCCAGGAAATATACTGAGATGAACATGGGTTTTAAAGGGAATCCCGAAGTGTTGTGTAATATTTTTGAACAAAGAGTACCCTGTAGGTATTGTGTAAAACAATATCTGATGTGTTCACATACCAATTAACTTCTGACTGAACAAATGCGTTCAATGGGACTTTGTGCTACAATGTTTTTAATATTAGTGTTCATTTCTGGTTTTAAAGATCTTTATGAGAGTCCTCCTGAATCATAATAAACTAAAAAGACGACTGGCAGCTAAAAAGACCAAAGTAGTATCTTTCGACATTGATTTTCCAAGTTGTGTTAACTTTATTAAAGACACACAGAAAGAGATCACCTACCTGTTTGGTGTTTTTTTACGAACTAATTTTAAAGTTTGTCCATATACTCATTGTCAAGAGCTGAATTTAACAGTTTGTGAAAATATCTTTCCTGATAACTTGGACAATTAAAAGTTTGCAATGTTAATAAAAAGAAATATGCATGTTAGGACTTGAGAAAAAATAGGATAATTCAAAGAAAAGGTTGCATGTGGAACAGGCTTAATTTGGTAATGCTATCACATTATTAACAAATCTGAAACTTGCAACGCTCAAAAGTAAAAAGGGTGAATCAAATCAAATTTGGGATATTTGGCAAAAGCAGGCTGAGTTGATACATTGATAAGTGTTTTTCCTCACTAATCCTTTGTAGGTTTGTCTCTTTTTTCTCTCTAGCTTCCTAGGTTTGATAGTGTTATATCATGGCTAGCTGATACAATGTTGAAATCCGCAGGTCTTAAAAGTTACCAAGTTTGTAACTGATTTGTTTAGTTGTAAAACCAATGTGTAACTCTAAGGTTTATTTACTATTCCGCATACAGGCATTAGTGTACTATATGGAGTTGAAATTAAATTATTGCAGGGTGCATTATTCTGAATAATCCTGGACATGATACGTTTTTGTGCCTAGGCTAACAATCCTTACAGCAAATAATCTTGTAGCATAAATTACGTTAACAGCAAATCTCATACTCTCCTCATTTTATTTAATGTTAAAAAAACCTTTGAAGTTCCTACTATTTACCAGATTATAAATTCCAATTTCTGCATGGTTGATGGACACCTACGTTGTTTAAAATAAAGCTTGTTTTCACTTCCCATTGCAAGTATATTTTGTAGAAAGATAAAAGCTTAGATGGTGTTTTTTTTTTAAAAAAAAATCTGTTTAGTGGCCATAGGGTCATGTATGTATTAGAAACAAACAGTTTGCCCTGGGTATTATAGTGTAGAAATAGTGGGTGGCCAGATGCAGCTCTGTGCATGTGCTGGGGAATGGGGAGAAATGATGTGCTTTATACTGTATGGAAGGCCTTTGATTTTGGCCAGGAGGGGTTGGCAAGAAGGCTGAAATGGTGAACAGCAACCTGGGGCCAATGTTCAAACCTAGATTAGGTCCCCTAGGACCCTACTTTGGGCGAACTGGCTGGGTTACAGAGTAAGTGGCATGTAGCCGACCCTTTTTTTGCCAGTGGTCTGCTTTTTAAAAAAACCCCGTCTACAGGAAGTAAAAAGTGTTTGGAGTATATTAAGTTAAAAGAAATGCGTCCTATAAAAAACACTTGTTGCATTTCCTGCTGAGAAAATTCACACAATGTATCTGAGCTATTGACTCAGCAGAAGCCCTTCTTAGATAGCTAAGTAGAACAATAGTTGGTATCTTAAGTGAAGCACTTGGAAGTACTTGGTGCTTTGTGGTCCATGTATTTGCTACAAATCAGTCACCGGAATTACTTGATAAGTGGAGTCTGTGAGACTAGGGCAAGATTTAAGCCTTTTCAAACAAAATGAAATGGGACATTACCTCAGGAGCATTGTCTGAGACACACAGCAGATTCTTTTGCTTTGAGAATCATTTTTAATAGAAAGCAAATTAACATAGGTATAGCAGAAATACGAGCATTCAAGATCTATAATGAGATTTGGGGGGCCGAAGTTGAAAATAAGAATGTTGTTTTGGAAATAACTGGACTTTACAGATATTTTTAACTCGAGTAAGCCAAATTGACGGGTTTGTTTCTTTTTCTCTTACCTAGGTCACTCCGAGATCTGAGACCCCCATAAACCACGTGGTGGGTAACAGTTTAGAGAATGCACTCCACACATCAGCACATTCCATTGAGGAGTCATTGCCTAAGAGGCCTTCAGGGAAGCACTCCAAAGGTACACCTCAAAGTTTAGCCAAATATTCCTGTTTGTGTGGTGGAAAAAAAAAATACAGTCTCACTGCTTAAACATCACTTATAAATTGATAAAGGAAATCCTTGTTTTTAATATTGCAAAATTATGATAGTAACAGACTAAAGGAAGACTAAGGAACAGTTCATTCTCTGTCAGTCATGGTAGCCTTTGAACGGGAAGTTTCTGCTTGATGGATGTTTGTTTCATTCATTTCCCTATTTTCTTTCAGAAGATCATTCTCATGGTCATGTAAGAAACTGCTGTGTTCAAGTAGCGTTAACTGCCAAGCTCTACTACCTGCTATAGTTATACCACACTGCAAGAAAGGACAACGGATAGACTTGTCCCTGTAACTCATGCAGTGCAGAGCCCTGTTGGGTCGAATTTTCAGTGCTTAAATGAGATTTCTCTCCTCTGCTGTAGTTCTTTTGTTACGATATTGATTCATCTATTCAGGATTGGCTTGTCCTATTTTGTGGAGATCTGACATTTCATTAAGCAAGCCTTATTACTTGAACTTTAAAAAGGCATTGAGAGGCGTTAGGATTGGATTCAATCTGACATGGCAGTTTACAAATACTCTTTGAAGCCTATGCCTCAGAATATTTTGGAACCTCCAGATAATATTGTTTCATATATGCAATTGAATTCAAATAAAAGGATTCATATAGCTGGTAAAACAGTCATTCATAATAAAAAACCATGCTTGGTTTTACTGTAGAAACAGACAATAAAGTATACTCTTTTTTTCTGTTAGTGAGATATATGGATATAAGGCTCCCTAAATCACATTTTGAAACAAATAATCTGACAGTTTATTACTTATGACCAGGAAGTTTACTGTGTGCTGATGTTCTGAGATTTCTCTGGAACACTGAAGTAACATCCAAAAAATATCAGAAACTATTCAGACATGTTGATCATGTAAAAACACAAAACGCAGTCTTGCTCAAACAACCTAAAGAATTTTCAGTGTTTACTTAAATCTTGCTTCTAGGGTGATATATATAAAATCTAATTCAGTATTTGATAAAGTATGGACATTTCAACTCTTATATTATTTAGTTTCCCTGAAAACAATGCCGCTTAAATGGAAAGATCACAATTATTTATTCTTAGCTCTTGTACAAACAAGCAGGGATAGAAAGTCAGATTTTATTCTCTGTGTAGTATGCCTCTTTAGAACTTTACCAGATGTCTTGACCACTGCATATTTTCCAAAAGCACAGTGTGGGATAAAATACATTAAACCAGATGTTGAAATGAACTCTACACTCCATAAGCTCTGACAATAGTTTAATGAAATGGCAAATCCATATGGAAGTATCCTTATGACTATCTCATTGTGTAGAGTTCAAATGGCATTTCCAAGGTGTAACTGTGTTCTTCCAAAATCACAGCCATAAGGAAACCTGAGGTTTTAGCTAAGGCAGCAAATATGGTTTTCTGTCCATTAAAATATTTCACCAGTGTCAACGCTGTGTAGAGAAGAAGCCTCGTCTATTTCCCCATCAGCATTTATTCCAAAATATTGAAAACAAAACTTACTGGATTTCATAAGAATAACATACAAGCAGTAATTACAAAATTGATACAGATTAGAACTGCTTACTTATGCTGGGAAAAGGACATTTGTTTCTGCTTTGGAAGCATTGAGATTATTTTATGAATTAGGTCCATATTCCAGTGAAGATGTAGATAGTCCATGACTTATGACCACATTTGGAGCCCAAATTTTTGTTGCTAATTTGTTAAAACAATTTTGTCCCATTTTGTGATATTTCTTGTCTCAGTTGTTAATCAGTTGAATCACTGCAGTTAAAAGTTAGTAACAGGGTTGTTAAGGGAATTTGGCTTTCCGATTGGTTTCGCTTGTTGGAAAGTCATAAAAGGTGATCACATGATTGCACTTTTAAATTGTGAACATGAGTGTTGTTTGCCATTTCCATTTTTAATAAGATTGGCATTCGTTATCACTGTAACTGACTATACAGTAGGAAACACGCCGTGACGTTGACAGTTAATATCTTTTAGATTAAGCTATCAACATATCCCAGCAGCTTCTCTCCCCGGGGCAGGCCTTTTGGAGTGAAAGTTGTCACAGTGTGTCATTAGTTGAAGAAGGCAGTAAAGGGATTTGTTTAGCTGAATTGGAATTAACCAGCAGCTGTAATCCTATAGCTCCCAACTGGAAAATAGTTTTGATTTTGCAACTGTATCCTGAAAGAGTGTTTTGTTTCTTTTTCTCAAGAAAAAAGAAAAGCAAGGGAAAAAAACAGCTGTTTTTCTCTACAGCCGCTTGTGTTACATCTCTTAGGAAAGACCATTGATTTATTGCATTACCTCATTGCATTGAGCGTATCCATTTCATTAGTGTATCATGCTTGTGCTATTTTTAACAATAAGCTGAAGGGACAGTGCTGATGAAATTACATTATTTTGATACCTAGCTGAAAGAAAAGTGGTATGGTCACAAAGGCTGCTTGCAAAAAGCCCCTCTGACTGTTGATTTCCAGGTTGTGATTGGATAAGGCTACCAATTCAATAATTCTTGCAAGCTGTTTATTAGGAATGGTTATGTTATATTTTGATGCGGGTGGGTTCCACAAAATACGCATAATCTGTGGAAGGATCAAGCTACTGTGCTCATTGGCCATGACTGCTTTTTCAGGTGAACGGAGAAGGTGCTACCAGTAGAATCCAGTAGCTTTCTTAAAGTAGAGCATCCAAGCTTGAAGAGGGATGTGAATTGCCTTGAGACATGGAAGCAGCCAAGGGTTTTGTCTGAAAGGAGTGGTGGCTGATTATTTCAGGCCATTGCTTGCCTACAAACAGCAATATGGACTTTGTTTGTAACCGACCTCTAAGAAATATTGGTTGTTTAGTTCTACTTATCAACGGTCTTTTGAGTATCAATTCTGCCCCCCATCCCCTAATGCATACAATTGGTGGTTTCGGGGGTTGTTGTTGTTAAGATTGGAATTAATGTGTACAGTGTAGAATTGTCTAAAAGAGGAAGAATATTCCTGGGGGGCGGGGAGGAGTTTTCAGCAGTAGGTTAAATTCTTAGCAGAGCTGATTTAGGAGTTGAAATCCTTCTTAAGGAAATCCATGTCCATTTGAAATGCATGAAATCCCTGTCTTTTCACGGTTCTAATATTGCGGCACCTACACCATTTGTCTCTGAATTTTGAAAAGATTATCACTTGAGGCACTGTCCTTGTTTCTGCGTAATATTGTGCCGGCCTGCCGTGTGATCTCCCGCATCTTCTTCAAGGATTACCTGTCAATCTTCATTGATCGTTACAGACCAAAGTAACAATGCGGTAATGCCAAAATAAAGAGTTAGCATGTGAGCTGTTCAGAGACAGAGGTTTGATGCCCGAGTGAAATAAGAGATTATGACAGGTAACGAAGATGCTAAGGAGGCACTCCTTGGCCTTCCCTAGATTATGAGGAAGTTGCTCTTGACCGCTGGTATTACTCTGCAAACTCCTGTGACGTTGTGAGGAATAATAGGGGTCCAAACCAAGCTTGGGCAATGGAAAGGTGAGGTGACTCTTGCACCTTTTGGAGGGAGATACTCCGCTCAGGGCATATTCAACTCATTCCTTCTTTGCTTCAGCTGACAGAGGAGTTTAGTTGCTCCCAAAAGTGGTACAGGTGCAAGCTGCCCACTTCCACTCTCCTTTGAAGAGGGTTAAAAAAAACACCATCTCTGTAAAATTCATAGGAAACGGTCACTGGAGCTTACAGGGGCCCAGTATTCTGCGATGGGTGACTCAGTGCTTAGAGTTGGTGCAACTAATCTGCAGAAGGTTGTCCAGTCACTTGCTCCTACGGCTATTACAACTGTTGCCAAGCTTTTTGGGGGGTGGGGCGGGGGGATGCTTCTTTTCTTTCTGTTACTGTGTGTGGGATGTGTGTGTGTTTCTGTAATTATACTACAGTATCGATATTGTCTAGGGCAAGGATGTCAACCATGGCAACTTTAAGACTTGTGGACTTCAACTTCAAGAATTGGCTGGTGAAATCTGGAAGTTGAAGTCTACAAGTCTTTAAAATTGCCAAGGTTGAATACTTTTGCTCTAGGGCCTTCCGAATCCATATGTATTCATCATCAAACCAATACATACAGTAAATGACTGCTTTGATATGTTCTCTAAGTGTGACCCCCCCCATAGATTGGAATTCTATTGTGGTGAAGATACCGTAGCTAGCTCAAAGTAACTTGATAAGTTATGTTAATCATTATCACAGAAATTCAAGTACTGTATATTGAGATCAAACCATCCTAAGAACAGTATTTGATTGGATTGATTTTAAAAATGAGTCAGAACATTACCTATTATTGTTTTTATAGTTGATGTAGAAGGTGTAAACTTGCAGAATATATCCTATTGTAAACCTAGTTTACAGTGATGTGAATATACACTCATTTTTTTTCTCTTGAAGATTGAAAGACATAGTTCTAGGCCAATATAATGTTTTTTGTCAAAAAATATTTGTGATTTTTGATATGTTCAGGTACATAAAACAGTATATACAACACAGTTATCTAGAGAACATTCTTAAGAATGTCATTTAACTGAGAGCATAATAAATTGAAGGCCAGCTATTTGTGCAAAAATAATGTTCATCTGAGTTTCGTTTCCTGTCCCAGAGATTAATCATGTTTTTAAAATAGCAGTTGTATGTTTTTCTCATAATTCCCAATATACTTAATGGGTATTGTGGTTATCTTAAGATGCTGACTTCACTACTTGTCTAGTCACCGAATTCATATTTTGTTTTGATTTTAACTTTTTTTTAATATTGAAAGGAAACCAAATATAATAAAAGAAGCCCAAGATCTTTTAATCTTGAACCTGCTTTTGGAAGTACATGAAAAAGTTATTCACAGTCTGAAAATAAAAAGGAATGAAGTTGTGGAATCAGACAGGAAATTAAGTCTATTAGTGCTGTAAATTGGAACCGAATGTTCCATATGTTGTCCACGTGAGTGGGGTTTAATGGGTTTCTAATGTGTGCTTCATAGCTGCGGCTGCATTTGTAGCAAAAAGGTAGTAACTGGATATGTTGGCGGTGCCATCTTTGTGTAGGTCTCTCTGGCAGTTGCCTCACAAGTAGCATCTTCCTGGCATAAGACCAGAGAAAAAGAAGAAAGAAATGTGAAGAGCTTCTGTTGCTATGATATTTTATTAAAAATTTGTCCTGGCAGATCAAAGCTGGACAAAATATTCCTCCTTTGCTGTGGCCATTTTACCATGCTGCTAAATTTCTGTTTCTTACATTTTATGGTGGGATCCATATATAAACTAGGTATAAACCAACTTTAAATATTAGAGAATACTATCCTATTTTCCTATTATAATCTATCCCACAATCCTAAATGTCAATAATGCTGTCTATCCATCAATGTTGGTGTATAATAGATAGCTATTTATGTTTTATAATCTAGTATATGAGAACTCTGAAAGTGTTCTTTGCCTGTTCACTAGTTTACCTTGGCTAATAACAATTCTGAGCTATTGAATACTCAAAATTGCCTTGTGTCTAAGTGCTAATAAAGCCATATGATTCTTTCCTCAATTAAGCAGTTATTTTAAGATATCAGTCAATCAAACAATTCTTCTATATTCTGTTTAAAACTATTCATTCTTTCTTGGCATTCGTGTGTCTGTGATGTAGTTATCTAAATAACAATGGATTTACAGCACTTGCTTACTGAGGGCATGAGCTGTTTTCCTATTAGTTCAATTTCTGATAAAGGTTTAGGTAGAAACTACCTCCTATGAATTAAAAGATGAAAAATAATAAGAACATTTAATTATAACACAAATGTAAGCATTAATTCATATGACTTTTCAGTTGATATGACTTTTCTGCAGAAGTATAGAATAAATAGGAACTTTAAAGGTTTAAAATATGTTAATTTACCACATAGGGAGAGTTTTGAGACAAGTGAGAAAGAACGCAACGGGAATGTTAGTTAGGAAAAGTGCTTTTAAACGATGTTAGCTTTTCCAAGCGAAATTAATATTCAGTATACACTCATGGGTATTTTTAAATGTGCTTTTTAGCTGCTGGCATGTTATCCAACAGACGTTAAAAATTCTTGCTCTTGGAGATAATCCGTTAACTCTTGTTTCAAAGATGAACATTTTATGAACATTAAAAACCTTTAAGGCACTGACTAACGTGTGTGCATTGCCTACCAAACAAAATATTTAGCCTATCAGCTCTGGCAAAAGAGACCTGCTGGGGGTCCCATCTGTTAAGGAATTAAGTTGGCAGCCCAAGGAAGTCTCTGCCTTCTCTGCCCTGGCCACCTGCCTGGTGGAACAATCTCCATCCATCCCTCATTCTCCTGAAGTCCCTCAAGACCTAACTTTATCATCAAGGCTGGGGCCCTGTGAGATCTTGAGGCGGCTCCCTTGCTAATCTGGTCTGCTGGTCGGGTCTTCTTTCACAAAACAGCAGAAAAGGAGGGCTGGCAGTACAATTAACAAATGCACTGTGTCCTGTTTTGTGTGGTATAAGGAGCCATCTTGGTTTTTGAAACTAGAACTCACCATTCAAATTCAAACCCTTGGTGAACCGGTCCCCAAAGCGCTTTTTCCAAAAGGTACCTGCGCCGTCTAGATTTTTTTTTTTCCTTGAAAGGATTTTGCTTGTCATCCAAGAAGCATTTTTTGTCTTCAAAGGAAAAAATCCAAGTTGTCTTTTGGAAAAAATACCTCTGGGACAACCATGACCTGGATGATTGAGAATTTCCATAGCGGTAAACCTGGTTCCATGACTTTGGGTTGCTTGTACTTGATTCCTGTGTGGAATTAAGAAAAAGCATCCAGGCCTCGTGGATGGATTTGGCCATTGAGATGTGGGCCAGTTGGAATAACCAGAAGCCTGCAGCCCTCCCTACTTTTGAAACAAAGAAAATAGGCCTGTGGCCCTTCCATATGTAACCCGTATTTCTTTTTGTTCTAACAGTGAGCGTCGAAAAGGTGGAATTAAAGGGATTATCACACAAGAAGAATGATAGGATTGCTGAATATTCTTTTGAGGTAAGTATCAAAGATTTACAAGGAAATACAAGTGAGATGAAGGGAACCAGATGTGGAGCATTCAGCATGCTGTCTTTAAGGCCTTTGGGGATGCTTTCTTTAAAATAATAGTTTGCCCCCCAAACATATCATATTCAATTTTACATTACCTCTGATTCCAAGATTATGTGTCTCGGGCATTTACCACTTCATGTTGTAGGAAATAGTCTGCTTATATCTTTTTTTAAATGAAAGGACTTTAATTATTCATTTACGTTCAAGATGCACTGAAAAAATACCAAGCATTTGCTCTTAACCCAGTCTAGTTGTGTACATACAAGGAAAAACTTAATGTGTAGCCCTCACGCCATAAGCGGTGATAAACCAGTGATACAGTCATTGTGCCCTCCTGTTAAATAATATCTCATTAAAACTGTTGGGTGTCTTTATCTCGTGCCTTGAGGTTAATCATACAAAATGCAGCGAGAGGAAAAATCGGAAGATTTTGAATATCTAACACTAAAAATAGTACAATATGATAATTCAGCTCCGTTCACAGGATAGGGAAAGCCCCGTAATTCCCGTGATTTTATTCTGATATATTTAGACTGTAAATCCCATTCCCTGAGAGACTCGCCTGAGCGTATGGCATGCCCCAACTGGCCTCTCCAGTCGGGGCGCTTAAGGAAAGGTGTGCGCTCCGAGCTTTCAGAAGCCGATGTCCGGGGAAGACTTGTTTCCCCCCCCCCCCAAACTTCTGTGCAGAACCTCCGCACTTCAGATGGATACATAAATAACATGAATATTATGAAACAGAAACTGGGGGGCTGGCGAGGAGGTCAGCATTACAGCATGTCGTTACTTGGGACATTATCCCAACCAGGGAGTTCTGAGTAGATTTTGAGCGCACTTTTCTTCCTTGCAAAATCCAGAAAAACAAGCAGAAAGCCACGTAAATGGAACCACAGTTAAACACATCCAGAAGTGCTATTTTTCCCCCTGCATGCTTTATCTGTGTGTGTGTGTGTGAGTGAGTGTGTGTGTGTGTGAGAGAGAGAGAGAGAGAGAGAGAGAGAGAACCAGGGGAAGAAGCAAAAGAAATCAACAAAGCCCCGGGAAGAATCGATGCTGCTGCCTGCCTGTTTCTGTTTCTTAGTTTAAGTCAAGGGCTGGAAAAAGGAAATTCCTGAATTACGTAATGTATTTTGAAACTCTTTCCTCCCGTCAGTGCTTTTGGCAGCATCCTCGGGGCTGCAAGAAGGCCTGCATTTTGGTAGTTAATATAGTGTGGAAACATCCTGCTCATCTCGCCCCTGCTCGTTTCTAAAAAGGAGAGTGGCGGTATTTCCCCCCCCCCCCCCCCCCCCCCCCCCCCCCCCCCACACCCCAGCAAAAAACACACACCGGGTTCTTCGCCTGTGTCTTGTATTATAAGTAGATGGGAATTCAGTTAATCGCTCGGCTTCTACAGACTTTCAGGATGGTTGGTTGAACCCGCAGGAAGAAAAGGATGCAGATTTCGAGGGTTTGGTACATCCTCCCTTACATACACACACACACACACACACACACACACCCATATGCTGGTGAAATAGTTTAAATCCACTTTGGGGAAAACAGGGTAACCTTCCGAAACGGAGGCAGAATTGCCCCACTGTACCTAGCCCAGCCCTGAAGGCGACGACCAAAGGGCTCTTTCTCGCTTCCTTAGGTCTTATGGTCTGATTCCTCAGTGACCGTGGTAACAAAGTCTTCTGCCGAAGTGACCGATTTCATTTCAAAGGTAAAATGATTTTGTACAATTTTTGCTTTTAAGGTACATTTGGAAGCATGTATATACAATGTATCTTCCACAGTTTTTAAAAAAAAGATTGCTTTTTTGCATGCTGTATGTCAGTTTGGTGTTGAATATTTTAAGTAATCAATTCACGGGCTGCTGGTTTCTGAGCAGCAGCTGACAGCAATACAGAGTACAATACCAATAATAAAAGCCAACATTTTCTTTCTTAGTTAGGTCAGTTGTGCCCAGAAGAAAATTTGGAGAAATTCATTCCTTTTCTAACTGGTCCAGATTCGTTTTACTTAGAAAGAAGCCATATGGACTTGGAATCAGACCTGAGGTATACTTCAAACTTGTTTCTGAAATTTGTCTGCGTGCGGGTGTGTGACTTTCAGTTATTCTTTTATTGTTCAGTTAGTGAATTTAACTATTTCACAAAGGAATCTCTCTTATTTAATTGCCATTGCTTCATCAGTTGCTTTGGTTGCAATTACTTAGTCTATTATGAAACCCTGCTTAGATTCTCCTATAGGCCCAACCACCTTCTGGCTCTCATACTCTGCTTTCATTAGCAGTGCCCAGTTGTGTTATTCTGTACTGCAGAGTCCTCACACAATTCTACTCTGTAGGAATTCATGCGGTCCCTTTGGGGGGGGGTGAAAGGGTGGGGGGCTGTGTTGGTCCCTTGGTAGTGCATCATTTCAGACCCAGGTCCACCTTCCTAATTAGCACTGGGCAGGACTGGGTTTAATAGGTCTTCCCTTTGAGAGGCCTACCATTGTTTTAATTGCAGTTGCTTTGGCGAAATGACAAAAATGCATGCACTCTAGGGCTACTCGAGAAGTTTCCCAGATAAAGCTAGCTTTGAAAAGGGAATAAAAGTAAGAAAAACAGCTTGGAGGGACAACTTCAGATGGGAAGAGGCGGGGGGAAAGGCGGGGGGTGGGGGGAAGTGGGTTATTTCAGGAAACAAGAAGGCTTTGAGATGATGGAACCTGATAAGAGCCAGACAAGTGAGAATCACAGGATCCATCACTGAAGCTTTTATTTATTTATTTAACCTAGCCTGCACTTGTATGTGTAGCTCCCATTTAGAGAGGCCTCTGGCTTTTTTTAGTGGAGTTTGAGAAGCGCTAGATTTGGATTCGACAGGAAGCTGTTGCAAAGAACTTAGAAAGAGGTATTGTGTGGGTAAAGTAATGAGAAAAATGGATAACTTGGGCAGAAAAAAAATAAATCTTAAGGGCCAGTTGCATCTGGTAAGCCATATCCCCTTTAAA